TCGTCCGACGCACTGGCAGGACGGAGGGGCAGTCGGGGCACTCACCAGTCTGGCAGATGCCGTAGGCGATGGGGCCGGCGTGAGCTCCGGTGGCGAGGATAGCAGCGGCTGCGACGAGAGAGGAGAGCTTGAAGAGCATGATGATCGAGTATCGAGTGCGGGGTACACGATGGGGCGGGGACTGGTGGGGGTCGACGGAGCTCTGAGGCGAGTATTTATACGGCGCCGTTCCCTCGCGTTCGACCGATGGAAACCACCCCAACGACAACAACGTCATTCGAGCTCGAGGATGACATGGAGGAGGTTGAGATAGAAGCGCGCCGCCTTACCGCAGCACTTCCAGGCCCTCTGCCCCCATCGCAGCCGAATCGGATGGATGCGCGCGTTTGAGATGATCGTATTTTTCGTCGACGTTTGAACAGGGCTGTCGAGCCCAGGTGGAGCGGACCAGAATCGAACGTGAACGTTTGAACCTCGCCCGAGCTCGCCGGGCGCCTTTTTGTCCCTCCCGCGCCGGCCGACGTCACTACAGATCTGCGTGCGATTGGATTCTGCGTCCCTAGAAACGCAGGCAGATGTATCTCGAGGCCACAAATTTTCGTATACATTACGAATGATATATGGATACAGCGCCATGATACAAGTGTCAATGTAATGAGTGTGGACATGATGTTAGAAGCGAGCGATACAATCTAAGCACAGAACGACAGAGCGTAGCTTCTAAGTGAAATGAGCGAGAGCGTGAGTGTTGAGTTGCGCAAACGAGTGGTTATGGTTGCGAATGATCGTCATGTCGATGTGAGCGAGATTGCAGAGCTCGAAAAGCCTGGTGTGCACGATGAGCTCGAGGTGAAGACGCGCTGAGTCCGCGAGGTTCTAGAGACACGCACCATGGATAGCCGTTTGAGCCCGCACCGCGCTCTTCCAGTACTGCTTGCTAAGGTCCACGAAGTGCTGAAGGATGAAGTCGCTGTCAAGCGGATACCAACCGCCGTGCTTATCCAGGTCATGACCGTCATCGAAGAGCTGGACGGCCTGAGGGGCGCCGTCCTCGTCTATACCGTGACGCCAGATCATCGCTTCAATACCTTGTCCCCCACGCGTCTCAGGGGTGATGCGACATCCAAGTCCGTACACGTTGAGCTCCCACTTGAAGGCCTCGAAGTACTTCTGGAGCCGCAGGCGGGGATTGTCGCGCAGCTTGTCCTCCACGAATAGGATGACCTGCTCGGCTTGCCGTCGATGTCAACTGCGCAGACCAGGAACTTGGGAATGACAAAAGTAGCACAACCCTGGGAGCGAGCAGCGACGAAACGGTTCAGCGAGTCGGTGGAGATCCTCTCCGCGAGAGCGGCCATATGCTCGTTGTCGGCGATGATTCTGTCTTTCATGCCGTCGACCATCGACCGGAGACATGCCAGTTCCTCGCCGGTCAGTTCTACCTCTTCACGAACCTTGTACTGGGGTAGGATCTTGAAGGAGTCCCAGCCAGAGAACGCGTATAAGAGTAGCATAGACACGATCCCGTCCACACTGCACTCGTACCTGGTCGAGAGGAGTTTGATGATGCGGATTGCGGCCCAGATCCAGGGTGGAGCGCGCTCTCTGAGCTCTTCGATAGTTTGCTAGGTGTGACGGCTCAGATACCCGTGATTTCCAGGAGTAGTACAGGATGCATGCCGTGTTTAGATCTGGCGGCATCGGGATGGTTGAAGCTAAAGAGTGGCAGTGTCAGTCACGAGCATTCTTTTGACATAGCTGAAAGCGGGCCGGTCACCGAAGTCAAACCATGGCTGAAGACCTGGCGCCCAGTTCACTCTTGCCCCACCACCACCACCACCACCTCACTCCGGTCTGCTCAGTCACCCCCATATTTCTCTACGATGTCGCCCCACGTCGGCGGTATGTTGATATACGTAGCCGGGTTCCTCCTCTCCCCAGAACAGATCGGTCACCTGTGCATCAAGGGATACGGTTTGTCGGAAGGTCTGGTCAACAACCGCGACTCTCCCGTCGACGCCGCATGGCACCACTTCTACGTCTACAAGACGCAAAATCGTACCGGACTGATTCCGATGTTCCGCAAGAACAGTCACCTTCTAGACGAGGATCTAGAGGGCTTCATTCTTACTTGCCGTGTCGCCTTCATCAGACCAGGTCTCAAGGAACCAGACTTGTCACTAGACAAAGCGTCCACGGCCTGTGCCGATTTCTGGTTCCCGCCCTTTCTCCGTGGAATGGACGAGTTCAAGGGTGTCCGATACGTCCAGTATCGAGTCCCGATGCGGCTGGGATGTCGTACGTTCTTCTTCTCATGGACCGCGTCGTCCCTCCAGATTCGATCACACCACGTCAGCACCCAGCTTCATAACTGACATTGACGATGCCCGCACGCGCAATAAAAACTCCCAACAACCTGTTCGGAGACGTCAACGATGGATGGAGAAGGCGAATGGGGGGCTGTTCATACTGGTACGTCTCTTGCATCATTGGTTTCTCGAATACACTTCTAAGGAGAGCAGCCCCCACCACTCCCCGCGCAGTTCGTCTGCAGCGATCCCAGTGGCCCGTCGAACGCATCTGTTGTACGTATTCCTCCCGCCTTCATACACTGCACATTTTGACGTCACACTGTGTTACCAGCCTACCGCAATGCCGCGTAATCGACTGCTTGAATCCAACCGGGCCATCTTGTGTTGCTAGCCATGACCATCTCCTGTTAAGTTGTCACGTATTATATCGCACTGCATTTGTTCCTCCATTGTCGCCTCCTCCATCGAAAACCCGCTTCGCGGGGACGTTGAAGCGAGGGAATTCGAGATTGAACGCTTGAACTCTGAAGATCTGATAGAGCGTCTTCACCAGCACCCACTATCCCCCGATATCCTCAGATCGTGGAACTGCGGCGTCTGCGATATCCAACGCGCCCTCGACCGAGCCCAAGTCGCTCGTCGTTTGCCACCGCGCGACGACGATCGCACGCGAGCCGGGTTGGGACACGTTCGCGGTCTTCTGTTTTTCACGCTCTCTTGCACCTAGGAGAGATGCTGACACCGTGCGCGAAAACCTCCGGACGGGTACATACGAGTACTCTAAGGGCACGTGCGTCCGCTCGCTGGCTCGCCAGACTGACTGACGTTGTGCACACACGCAGTTCAACTTCACACGAAGGGCGGGCTGACGCGCGCTGAGCTCGTGCTCAATATCTCCGCCGCATCGATCGTGGCGACACTCGGGAGTTCGCTCGCCAAAGGTGCGTGCGCTCGCCTTCGTCCGGATTCTGTTTGCTCGCGTACTGACATCGACGCGTGCACAGTGCGCCTACAGGCATACTTCCCCGACGGGTCCCCGTATCGCTTCAGGCGGCACGCGTTCGCGCCGCCCGCGCGGTTGTCCACACACCTCCCACTCGCGAGTGCACGTTGTTGTAGTCTGTTTCCTACTTTATAGCGGCGATCCGCCCGCTACAGCACCAGCAAATGCTGATCCGCCGCCAAGCTTGCCATGACCAGAACCGTCCGTACAAAAACGCGAATCGCCTGCTCGCGCTAGTCCTCCTGCCCTCATCAGACCTCGTTGAGACTGCGCTTGAGCTCACTCGGCCCAACGTCACCCCTTCCATTCGTCCTGCGGTGTTCACCGTGGGACGGCACCTCACCCCCACGGCCACAGGGATGCGGGAGCGGAGGACGAATGGGAGGCCAGTGGAGAGGTTGGCGGACTGCAAGGTCGGTAGCACAACGCGTGCTGTTCGTATGTGAACGTGCTGTTGGCGATGCGGCGCTGAGATTCGGTTTGGCTTGCTGAACACGTGTACCACAGGCACACATATACGCCTCGCCTCGCCTCTTGACGATTCTCGACTGGGCCTCACTGCCGAATATTGACCTCAAGACCATCGTTCTGTCACTCTTGTGCGCGACGCAGCAACCATGTATACGGGGAAAGAGACATTGGTACAGACGACGAGCCACCGACCTCGAAACACGATGTCAACTCCATCCAACAGACTTTCGAATTTTGGGATCTAGCACGATGCTCAGCAGCTAAAGGTACGCCGTCGACCAGAGCGGGACAGACCTCGTGGGCTGGATGCGAGCCATCTACGTCGAGGGAAAGAACGTGACGGCGGCGCAGGCCGCCAAGCAGACGCCCAGCGTGGCGTTGCAGGTGGTGATGGCGGCGGGGACATCGACGCCGGCGGTGGAGATTGAGCCAAAGGTGAAGCCCGCGCCGGCGTAGCAGGCGACGACGCCCTTGTTGCAGCCTGGGAGAGCGCGTCGAGACTCGAGACTCGTTCGCACCAGGACGGAGGCGCAGTCGGGCCACTCACCGGTTTGGCAAATACCGTAGGCCATGGGGCCGGCCTGAGATCCGCAGGTGGCGCGGAGGGCAGCGGCAGCGAGGAAGGAGGACAGCTTGAAGTGCATGATGGTCGAGTGCGGGGAGTTTAGTGAGGGTCGACAGGGCTCTGAGGCGAGTGTTTATGTGGTCCTGTGCCCTCAGATCATCCCGCGTCACTCGAGGATGACACGAAGGAGGTTGAGATCGAAGCACGTTGGGTCCCGGTGCCAGCGCTGCCACCTTACCAGAGTACCTCCACGACAGGCTCTGCCAGCTCATGAGTCATGCACGCTGAGCCGCAAGGCCAGCAGCATGAAGCATGCTGTTCGCATGGGAATGTGACTTTGTCAATGATTCGGTTTGGCTCGCTGAGCACGTGCCTCGCCTCGAGCCGCGAGATCTGCCGAACCTTTACCTCAAGACCATTATTCAATCGCTCGCGCGCGCGACACAGTCGAAACTACAACTTTTATACGGGAAAACGATGGGGATATTGGTACAAACGAAGGGCCTCTCGAGTCACCGATTGCGAGACACGATGTCAACTCCAGCCAACTGACTTCCAAACCATGGGACACTGGCACAATAGTACTCAGCAGTCGAAGGTACGCCGTTGATCAGAGCGGGACGAACCTCGTGGGCCGGGCTCGAGCCGCCTACGGAGTCGGGGCGAAGAGCCCGATGGTGGCACAGGCCGTCGAGCAGGTTCCCAGCGCGGCGTTGCAGGCGACGATGGCGGCGGGGACGCCGAGGCCGGCGGTGACGGTTCCGAAGGTGAAGCCCGCGCCGGCGTAGCAGGCGACGACGACGGCGTTGCAGCCTGGGAGCATGTGTCGATACTCGTCCGACGCACTGGAAGGACGGAGGGGCAGTCGGGGCACCCACCAGTCTGGCAGATGCCGTAGGCGATGGGGCCGGCATGAGCTCCGGTGGCGAGGATAGCAGCGGCTGCAACGAGGGAGGAGAGCTTGAAGAGCATGGTGATCGAGTGCGGGGGGTATACGATGGGGCGGGGACTGGTCGGAGTCGACGGGCCTCTGAGGCGAGTATTTATACGGTGCCGTGCCCTCGCGTTCGACCAATGGAAACCACCCCAACGACGACAACGTCATTCGAGCTCGAGGATGACATGGAGGAGGTTGGGATAGAAGCGCGCCGCCTTACCGCAGCACTTCCAGGCCCTCTGCCCCCATCGCGACCGAATCGGATGCGTTATATGGATGCTCCCGTTTGCGATGAGCGTATGTTTCGACATTTGAACAGGGCTGCCGAGCCCAGGTGGAGCGGACCAGAATCGAACCTCGCCCGAGCTCGCCGGGCGCCTTCTTATCCCACCCGCGCCGCTGTGACTGCATGGATACGGCAGGACGGATGGAGAGGTAGACGTTGGGCTGAGTGAGCTCAAGCGTAGTACCAAGGAGCTATAAGGAGGGTAGAATGGTTAGCGCGAGCGGGAGATCAGCGTTCAAAGTCCTGGTCGTGGCAAGCTTGGCGGTGGATCAGCGCTCAGCCTCGGCTGGTGCCGTAGTGTGCGCGCATACTTGATAACCGCTATAAAGTAGGAAACAGACCACAACAACATGCACCACTGAGTGGGAAGCGTGCGGGCGACGGCGCGCGCGGAGCCCTCCTGCGAGATCGACGCGAACGCGTGCCGCATGGATCGATACGGGGACCCGTTGGGGTAGTACGCCAGTGGGCGCACTGTGTGCGCGCTGCGACCCGATGCCAGCACACGGGCCAGCAGAATCGGGACGAAGGCGAACACACGCACCTTTGGTGAGCGAACCCCAGAACATTGCCACGATAAATGCGGCGGAGATATTGAGCGCGAGCCCATCGCGCGTCGGCGCAGGGCCCTTCGTTTGCTCGAACAGCCTGCGCGCGCGTAAGGTCAGCCTATGTCCGGATCACGAGCGAGCCGACGCACGTGGGTTCTTGTACGCACCCGCCCGCAGTGTCCTTGTTGAGTGCCAGAGAGCGCGATGAGCGGAACGAACATGTCGGGTTACAGAAGACGAATCGCGAGGCCACGAATGTGTCCCAGCTCGGCTCGCGGGCGACCGTCCTTGCGCAGGTGGCGATCGAGTTGAGCATGGTCGAGGGCGTGCCAGAGAGCGACGGCGTGTTGAACGTAGCAGAGTCGGAGCAGACGCCGCAGTCCCACGATCCGAGGATATGGAGGGGATAGTGGGTACTGGTGAAGGCGCTCCATCGGCGTTCATATAAGTATGAACAGCGGCCCTCGGCCATTCGCCTTATCCATCCATCGGCGACGTCGCGGCGCTTTCTGAAGGGGTCGCTGTGGCTTATTGCGCGTGCGAGAATCGTAGATGCCCATAATGAAGCTGGGGGCTGATGTGGTATGATGAAATCAGGAAGGATAACGCGATCCAGGTGGAGAACATACGATATCCAAGCCGCCTCGAGACTCGATACTGGACATATCGAACATCCTTATGTAAACCTGTCCATTTCACGGAGAAAAGGGGGGAACCAGAAATTGGCGCAGGCTGTGGACACTTTTTTAGCGACAAGTCTGGTTCCTTGTGGCCCGGTCTGACGAAGGTGACACTGCAAGTAAGAATGAAGCCATGTAGATCCTCGTCTAGAAGGCGACTCTTCTTGCGGAACATCGGAATAAGTCCACTCGGGTTGTGGGTATTGTAGGCGCAGAAATGGTACCATGCCGCGTCATCAGGTCAGTCGCGGTTGTTGACGAGACCTTCTGATAAACCGTATCCCTTGATACACAGGTGGCCGATTTGTTCTGCAGTGGAGAGGGGGAAACCGGCTACGTATACTGATATACCGTCTATGTGGAGCGACATCGTAGATGAATACGGGTATGAGTACGGCGCGGAGTGAGATGGCAGTGGTCTGGTGGTGGTAGGGCAAGAGTGAGAGAGTCGTCTACATGAGACGAGAGACAGATCTAGAGAGGCGCTCGATTTTCGAGCCCTTTGGCGCCAAGGCGGAGTTTCATTCGGGGCCGCCCGGGCCCCATGGCTTGGCGTTCTTCCAACGCGATCGACCGGCGAGCAAGCACCTCAGGAGGGTCGCCTGGATTGCATTCAAAGCGCTCAGCAATCTCGCTGGGTCGTTATCCTGGGCGTGGTAGGGTGACGGCACCTCTTCGCGTATTGCGCGCCTGCACTCGCACCAGAACAGCAGGAGCATCTGGCCTCTCTAGGGGGTTGTAAAACTCCACCGTGAGCGGTACAGGTAACGATAGGAGGGCATGGATACCAGTTTATGGATACAAGCAGATACAGCGACATGAGTTGAGTTAAGACGTGGAGAATTCATTAGAAAACGAGTGACACGGTGCAATGAATAGCGAGTGAAGGAGCGTGGTTTGTGAGCGCGGGTTGTAAGTGGCGTGAATGAACGAGGTCGTGATGTGCGTAAATGAGCGTGGGTAAAAGAGAAGAGTGATGCGAGCGAGAATACCAGAAGCCTGCGACAGAGTGCGGTCTTGTACCTGATGTACGCGCATGGTCAGGCGCGCTTCAACGGAGCACCGCAACGGGGGAAACGCGTACCATGTGTTCCCGAGACTTGGTCTAAACGTTCGCAGCGTACTTCCAGTTCTCCTTGCAGAGGTTCACCAAGTGCTGAAGGATGAAGTCGCTGTCGAGACGGTACCAGCCGGAGTGGTTGGAGGCGTTGTGGCCTTCGTCGAAGACCCTAAGAGCAGGACCGCCGCCAGGTGCGCGGCGCCAGAGCATCGCCTGGATACCTTGACCACCTTGAGAAACAGGCACAATGCGGCATCCCAGGCCGTACACTTCGACCTCGTGCTTGAATGCGTCGAAGTAAACCATAAGCTGTTCTAGGGGATTTGCGTTGAGCTTGTCTTCCACGAACAAGATGACCCTGCTCGGCCTGCCGTGTATATCGACGGCGCAAACCAAGAACTCGGGGATGACGTAAGAAGCGCGCCCCTCAGAGCGAGCGGCCACGACACGGTTAAGCGAGTCGGTCGAGAGCTGGGCGATCCATCCTTCATTCTCTGCTTTGATCCGCAGCTTGATGTCGTCGGAAAGCGACTTGAAATACGCCAGATCTTCGTCAGATAACATCACCTCCTTGCGAACCTTGTACTGTGGGAGGATCTTGAACGAACCCCAACCAGAGAATGCATAGAAGAGCAACATAGATACGATCGCGTCGACACTGCATTCGTACCTGGTGGACTTGAGCTGGATGTACCGAATAACCTCCCAGATCCAAGGCGGCGTACGGTCGATAAGTTCTTGAATAGTTTGCTGGCGCAGAATACAACTCAGCAACGTATGCGTACATCATATAAACGGTATGGCGACTCACCGGCGGATCTCTCGGGACGTGGAATGTTTGGGCTTCCTGGGCACTTACCAGTGCATTGAGAGCACGGTTGGCGTCGGCAAACCTCTGCTCGTCCACCGGCTTCCTGTGTATCATGAAAATGCTCGAAGTCTCAGAGATACGTTCATTTATACGACAACGACGATACTCACCCTTGCGACTGCATGTGGTGCAGCAAAAGAATGCCGGGAAATTGTTCGTCAGAATGCGGACGTACTTAAGAGGTGTGAGATGAGAACGTACCATGTCAAGCAAAAGGTTGATGATCAGATTTCGTATGGTGTCGTGAAGTAGGAGTGCGCGCTGCACATCAGGTTGCTGTGCCTTCTCCGGATTCTCGGGAGTGGGGTCTGCTGCTCGAGTCTTATCGGAGGCGTTACTAGTAGCCGAAGGGCTAACACTGCCGGTATCTGGGCTCGACGAGGGATCCGCGCCAACCGAGTCGGGTGTCGACGTTGAAGGATCGGCGCGGTTCTCTGGAATTGATGAGGGGGTGAGGGGGGTCGCGTGGGTCGATGAAGGTTTGCATGCGGCGGACACTGAATCATGCGGAGACAGTGTCGACGCAACGAAAGAAGTGCCCTCGGAGCGACTGGAGGCCGCAGCGACATGGTCGGGAGCGTTTTCTCCCAAGATCTCCTGAAGATGCTCATTGACTCGTTTCTGGATGCGGGACTCATCTATTTCTGCGAGGCGTTCTTGGACTCTTGTCTCCACTCGTGCCTCTACCAAAGCGTCGATAGCTTGCTGCCGTGCTTCGTTGACTGCTGCATTTACCAGTCCTGGGATCTGTGAACGTCGAGTTACTTAGTACACGTGAAATATACCAGTGAGCGAACACACCATTTCATCGTTCAACGAGTTGATCAGCCGCATGCCCGAGATGACCCTGGTTTGAGCACGGGTTGCTCTGAAAAGGTAGATCAGTGATCTTCAGCCACCTATATATGCATAGACCTCATATACATACGCTTGATCAGACGGCTGCCAGTTCCCAAACGGTGACTAGAAGTATTGGGGAGATGAGCTTCGGTTAGCGTCGTGACAATGATGAACTAATGGGAACGAATGTACTGACATCGCGCCTACGAGGAAGCCAAGACAACAAAACATCCTTGAGCCTCGAAATCTTTTCCTTTACCTTATTCCCAGCGACATGTGCAGAGTCGGACGCGACAACGACGGGGAGATTGCCCGAGCCGACGGGAGTAACGGTGGGAGGGGAGATGCTGGCGGGAGGTGGTATAGCAGGCATTGACGACGATATTGGAAAGAGTAAAGCAGGAGGAGGTGTGGGAGCCACCGATGGTGAAGGGGCCACTAGGTCCAGCCCAGTGGGTGGTCTGGACCGGATCATCATGATGAGGCAAATCCGACGGTGGATGGGATATAAGAATGGGAGAATACGCACATTCCGAGAGCTTCAGTGATAGCCCTGCCATTCCTACGAGGACGTAACGCCGGAGGCATATCTTTGTTGTTGAATTTACGGCTGACGATCGGAGGAGAGCCGCGAGAGGTTGAAGACGATGGCCCGAGTGGTCAAGAGTGGGAGACGTGCGGCCTGAAGATGGCAGTGAAAGAGAATGAGAAGGGAAATTGGCCCCGACATGTTATATGGACGCAGAGAACAATGGGAGACCATAGCCGCCTGTGTGGTGGTCAGAACGGAGGCCTGAGGCCCCAATGCGGCAGGCACGGGGATGGTTGAAAGTCGTGTGGCGGTGCCAGTCACGAGCGTTTGAAACCCGCCTGCGGGAGCTCTCATTCAAACTCCGCCTGAGGCGGTTGGAACCGGGCGGTTGCGGGCCGAAGTCGAACTGAGCCCTCTCCGGCCACTTTCACTCCTCTCCCTTGTCCCCATTGCGCGCCACTCTTCCACCCACACTCTCATCCCCGATGTCGATCTACGTCGCCGGCTTCCTCCTCTCCAACGAACAAGTTGGCCATCTCTGCGTCAAAGGATACGGTATCTCCGAAGCCGTTGTCAAATACACCGAGCCTATCGGCGCTGCATCCCAACACTTCTATGGCTACAGAGCATACAACCCCACAGGCCTTGTGCCGATGTATCGCAAGAATAGTTCTCTTACCGAAGAGGACATTGAAGGTTTCATCCTCACTTGCCGTGTCGCATTCGTCAAGCAGGGTCTCAAGGAACCAGTCCTGTCGCTCGACCACAAGACCTTGGCATTCGCCGACTTCTGGTTCCCGCCCTTCCTCCGTGAATTAGACGAATTCAGAGGTGTTCGTTATGTTCAATATCGGCTTCCTAGGCAGCTCGGGTGTCGTGCGTCTTTCTCGTCGTCCGTAGAGATTCTCGTTTGCTCATTCTCCTGCTCCACGCCAGCGCACATGTTTATCAACGACATCAACCTAGCGCATATCACCTCAAAGGCGGCAGAAACTCGTCGCTTAATGCCATTCCGTTGGACAGGGCAGACGGGGGATGGGGGAGACCAATTCATCGTGGTGCGTTCTTTGTCTCATTGACTTCTCGTATGCATGCTCAAGGCAGCAGCCCCCACCGCTTCCTGCCGAGTTCATCCACACCGAGCCCAGCAGCAGTGCCCGATTAAACTCTTCTGCGGTATGTTCTCGCTGATGTCGCGATGTACACCTACTCATATCATCCCGTGCTTCCTTCAGCGCTATGAACGTCAAAACTCCAATCGGGCTATATGACGTCGCCGAGGTCGTGTCCTGTTAAGTTATCGTAAATTATACCCCCTCGCTCTCTTGCACCTCTCCATTCGGCACCGCAAGGGACCACTTCTGCGCCTACAGGAGGCATTACGCCACCGGCCTCGTCCCAATGTGTCACGAGAGCAGCCCGTTCCCGACGAGGATGTCGAAGGCTTCATCCTCACTTGTCGCCTTTGTCAAGTTGGGCTGGGCTTGAAGGCACCTGACTTGTTACTCGATAGGGAGGCCGCCACTGATTCCTTCCGTATCTCCGACAAATGGAAGAGTTCGAAAGTCTTCTTTGTGTCCCGTATCTGTATCCTAGGCTCCTGGGTTGTCGTACGTCTGTTATGTCGATGTGAACATTCCATTCGCTGAATCCCACTTCCTCACCAGCACCCACTTTTATTGTCGATATTTACAACGCGCGTAATCGCGATGAGAACGGCGAGCAAGTGCATCGAAGAGTACAATGTCGCCCACGAATACAGAACGTGGACACCGAGAGACGTCCATTCATCTTTGTACGTCCGATCATGCTTTGTTCGCCTATACTATCGTGCTCAAGACAGCAGCCCCCACCACTCCCTACACAGTTCACCTTGACCGATCCTAGACCAAGTGTTCTCGGTAGGCTAGATGCCTCTTTGGTATGTCTTGTATGTAATGATGATGCACCAGTGCTCATTTCGCCTTTCTTTACTAGCAAAACCCTCTGCAGCGAGCTCGACGTCGCGACTCCAGTCGGGCAATGTGGGCTACGATACGCTCTATCCACATGCCCTTGATTATTACATATCATATGAAGTACCGCCATCCATCTGCTCTTTCTGTTATAGTCTGCAATACCACCCGTGGATGCCGAGTGGTCGAGAGTGATTTCGATCGCTTCTACTGCACCAATACCTGTTTTCGCGGCTATCGATTGGTCCAAGGGCTGGGGCCGCTACGATGCTAAAGCACATCTCTGAATTTGGCCCGGTGAGGACTGCTCCCGCACTGGCCTTTATCCGGAATCGTGTACTACGCTACATCGAAACCCCACATTTGATGTCATGCAGCGCAAGATCCGTTTTTAAGTTTCGTAAGCCCCAACCCATTGTCCGAACGCGAGTTGCGACGCGTCCTGTGACATACGCCACGTGATCGCGAATCAACTGTGGTCTGCCTATTATGGGTATTATCCCTACCCCGCCACTACCACAGATCCTATCGTATGCCGGCCATGCCTTCATGCTTCGCCCATCTACATATGCTGTAATACCGCTTCCATTTGGCCGGCCGTCAACAGCAACAATCTCTAGAACCTTTCCTCCCGGTGTTGGTCATCCCCCAAGACCTTAGCTCGTTGTTAAAGATTTGCCATGGCCGATGCTTCATCGTGAGTCTTAGCTTGAGTTTGATTTATGCATTGTTGTGAGGAGTTTGGTGGATCCGCGGTCTCCACGAGGGTGCTCCAGGAGTGTAACGGCCGATTCGGGCTGGTGGTATGCGGTCTTTGTTTACAAGCGCACCACAGGGCACGAGCACACATGCTACCATGTGCTGTCCAAGGGTGGATGTGAACATCAGTTGACTTCGGTATTGCAGGGATGACAGCGATACCGAGGTGGTGCGTCTTCCATTTGCGGGGTCGCTGGGTCGTGCTTACATGTATATAGTCGTCCCAGGTACGCCACACGCCGCGTTACGACGGCTCGGACGACGAAGAGGTACAACCAGCTCGCCCAACGAACTTCGACCCGTCATCCTCGGCAGCGTCTTCCTCAACCACAGGCACCTCTATTCTTCGTCAGCCTGTGGGTTTCAAGGCTCCTGCAACTCCCCTCGTTATCACTCCCACCCCCGGTATCCTCCCAGCACCAGCTCCACGTCTCCCCACACAGGAGCAAAAGAAGCAGACATCGAAAGGAAGGGGAAAGGGGAAAGAACGAGACAAAGGCACGTCCACTTCTACTGCCCCCAAGCCCCCGGATCCTGCGACGACGCCGTACCATAGTCTTCCTGGCGTGCGGACGGCGTTTCGAGTACAGAACTACAAGAAGGGCGGGTCTGTCGTCGGAGGAAACACTGCCGCACCCGCGGGGCCATATGGGTCTGCCTTTCGAGCAGAGTTGCATCCTCCAGTCGTTGCTGCCACATCTACTCCCAGCCCTCGACCACCCCACAATTCGGAGACTATCGGGCAATCTGCAGCACCCACCGGGCCGAAACCATCTTACTATCGCTATGATTACGACCGGCAACGCGTACCGTCATTCTCAGCGGCCGCTACCCTCGCAGCAGCGCCGACGTCTTCTCTCGCACCCTCATCCGCGCAACCGCCCACTTCGCAGAGCTCCCGTCCATCGCCCGCCTCCAACTCTCGCACGACAACCCCGGCGCCAGGAGCCGTTTCTACCTCCAGTGCCCCATCCCAACAGAATGCTGCCACTCCCATCCCAACAGGTCGCCCCGCTTCCACCACTCCTGCATCTCCGCCTCACACCTCCAACATCGACCTCAATTTTGACATTGGCGACCATCCACAGTCAGGCCCAGCCCCCGACTCGGCGCCCAACCCGGATCCCTATGCTATCCCCTCGACGTTCTCGCACGACCCTAACCGTGAAGAGCGACGCAAGGAGAAAGAGAAAGACCGTCGGGATCGCCGCGCACACTCGCCCGGCTCTCGATCACGTCCCCACCGGCGCGAGCGCGCGCAACAGTCACCACCACCTCGAGTGTGCCGCGTACTCACACTGCTCATCGAGGACAAGCGCGTGCCAAATGCGGAGGGGGAGTTGGCGGAGATTCGGGTGCCGCTGAAGCCTGCGGAGGGTCCCGACGGCGGGTTTTGGGCCGACGCGGCGGAGGTGGCGAAAGAGTTGCAGAACAGTCCTTCTCGCATTGATGGTGAGTGGACCTCTTGGTTCTCGCAGGCGTGCGGGAGGTTTATAGGAGTACATTGAAGGTCGGGCGAAGATCTACACGCTGCGGGGGAAGTTCAAGCAGTACTTCCTCCGGCTGCCGACGGAGGGGGAGAAGGACTTGAAGACTGCCAATCTGAAGGTGACGGCGGACCGCACACTTGAGGTTTATGTTGAGGATGTGAGTGTATGCGCCTACCAGTTCATCGTTCCCCACTCACGAAGTGCTCAGAACCCACCTCCTGCCACTGCTGCAGCTCCTCCCCCGGTATCTGTTGCTGCCCTTCCTAAACTTGTTCATCCCCATGCCTCGACTCCTCAGCTTTCTTATGTCCTACCACATGCTGTCATCCCCCCAAATGCTGTCGCCCCTCCACATGCTGTCGTCCTTCCACAAGCCACCGTCGCCCCACCTGTAACTGTGCCCTCAACTGCAACTATTCCTCCGCCTATCTCTGTCGCTCCACCAGCGACTGCTCCCGCGACGACTACCCACACACCTATGTCTCCATGGAGAACAGAGCGCTCTTTGCTCACTCCCGATACCGACTCGTTCCCTTCCCCCAAGAACCCTTACGCACAAGTCCAGCATAGGAAACGGGAGAGCCTGTCTAGTCTTTTCAGCATCGACGATCCTTCCTCTCCTTCAGCACAACGTTCTGGCTTCGATACTACTTCCCTTGGCACTTCGCTCTCGAAGAGAGCGCGTTCCGCCAGTATGCAGTCCATGATGTCCGCCACATCAGCCGTGCAACAGGATCCACCACAACGACAAGACACACTCTCGCCCGTTTCTATGCGTTCTCCGTCCGTTCGGCCTTCGCAGTCCCATACTCCTTCGCAAGACTTCTCATCTCCGCCCCCGCCTCAATCGGAGTTCGGAGACGATGTGGCCTCGCCAGCGTCGTCATCTCCTGCCCTGTCCCATGCTGTACCTATGGAGATCGTTCAGCCTTCACCCCGCATTCAGGTGCAGCGAGAGCTCCCTGCTTCCTTCGCTCAGAGTGCCGTCACAGCCGATCAATCCGCTACCTGGGCAGCATATGGTGGGGCGCCTTCCCCGCCAAAGCGGCAGAGGGTGGCGGCAGTGGTTCCCCACCGCCCTGAACCCATCGTGGTCCCGCGACAGAAAACACCCCCTCAGCCACGACCGAAGTCTCCGCCGCAGGCCTCGTCGAGCAATGCGAATTTCTTCCAAAGCCATTACAGAACATCGTCGGCGTCGTCACGCACGGCTTCCGGTTCTTCAGGGCCCTCATCTGGCACCTCGATGACGGGTTTTGCTGCGTATGCCGGGGCAGGTGCTTCGTCTACGACGTCGAGGACTGCGTCGTCTAGCGGGTTTGCTGCGTACGCCGACACGTCGAAGACATCGACGGGCTCCTTCTCGAAGGCAAACACCAGCACGACATCGTCCTCCTCTTCTGGCTTCTCAAGGTTTACAACCTCGACTGGCTTCGGTCAATCGTCATTCGACGCCTCTCGGAGCCTCTCGGGAACCGGACCCCGACCAGGTCCCACCAGCCAGCCATCCGCCCCATCCCAAGCGCCCCAGCTGGCACAGATGCCAACCAGCATCGCGCCGTCCGCGATGTTCAACAAGCCGACGCTCTCCGGCGCGCCCTCGACCGAGCTCGACTCGATCGTCGTCCGGCACGTGCGCGAGGTGATGGCGCGCGAGCCGGGCTGGGACGCGTTCGTCGCCGCGCGCGCGCGCGAGGTCACGATGCGCTCGCAGCTCGCGCAGTTCGCGTACATCCGCCGCGCGCTCGACCGCTTCGTCGGGACCCCGACCCCGCCGGACCTGCAGGGCGCGGGGGGCGTCGCGGTGTCGCGCCAGCAGGTGCTCACCGCGCTCGGCCAGAAGCCGGCGCAGGCCGAGGTCGCGCACGAGATCTGGGAGCTCGCGCGGCTGTACGGGGAGCGCGGCGTGCGCGGGGAGGACGCGCGGGTGGTGCGGATGCTCGACGAGGTCGCGCCGGTCACGCCGCAGATGCACGCTCAGCAGTTCCTGAAGCTGCTGAGGGACGTCCACCGGCAGTGGGAAGAGGCGCACCCGGCGTAGGAACGGGTGCTGGAAAGCTGGGCGGC